ATCTCCTGCAGCAAGCAGAGGCTGGACGAGTACAAGCGGCTCATGTCGGTAGGGATGAAACGTCAGCGGGCCTGTCGGTGCTGGTTCAGGTGGTGCTGGATGGACACAATATCCTCACACATAACCCACTGTGTCCTCCTCCTACACCTTGATAGAAAAGTTCCTAGATTTAGCATATCTCACTTGAGATTTGCGCAATGGAGCCCGACCATGGATTTCTTCTAGTTGCACGGGCAGTGGATGTGGAATTAATGGGACAGTGATCCTTTAAAAGCTCTAGAGATCCTCCCGTGATGGTTCACCATGTTCTCTGTTCTGGGCTTACCTTGAAGCAGCTCAGAGCAACAGTGCATCTATGGCCAAGCGTGGAAGTCCAGGCATGGAAGTCCATGCAAGGTTACCTAGGAGCTAAGCGTGTCCCGTTGCTTTTTTCCTCCTCCACCAACTCTCCATCCTCCACAGCTTCCATCACCCACAGAATCCCCATTCTCTCCTCTGGTTCGCAGCTTGGAAAGGTCTACGGCGTGGAGTCCTACGTATTGTCCCCCTCTGAGACCAAGGACCTGTACCCGCTGATGAATGTGGATGACCTGTATGGCACACTCTATGTCCCTAAGGATGGCACCATGGATCCGGCTGGCACCTGCTCAACTCTTGCTAGAGCAGCAACTGCCAGAGGCGCTGCGGTAATTACTAATTAATACCTAGTGGTGTTGGGAGCAGATATCATCCCCTGCCCTGGCCACAGCTTTTCCTGTCCCACCAGAGCAGGGCTGCTCTTGCTTTGTCTCTTGTAGGTATCAGGCCTGTTAGCCTGAGAAAGGGTTGCCCTGTTTGGCTCTTGCAGCCACAACAGCAATGCGGACAAGATGCCTGTGTTGCACTGGAGCTCTGAGGTCTAGAGAAATTATACGGAAGAATAAAAAGACTTTTGGGAGCAAGATGAGGCAGCCCAAGGCAGGTTCTCAGGAGAGCAGAGGTTTTAGGGCAAAATCACACAGTCCACTCTTGAAGCCCATCATTCACATATAGTTTAGCCCACGTGCAAGGCATGCAAATAATAATCATTTTCTGCAATTACAGATACTCAGAGTAATCTGGAATTAGTAAGAATTTTATTGTCTAGCAATAGCAATGGTAACCGTTTACAGGCGAAGGAAGGTGGACGGTGTCAGACCTCTGCTTTAATTCACCTTTCCCAGCACAGAGAGATTTTGGGGCCAGATGTCGGGAGAACTGGATTATCCTGCTAAAATTCCCACCCTGCCAATAATTGTCTTTCTCATTCTCTGCTACTAGATCATAGAGAATTGCCCAGTGACTGGCATCCAGGTGAAAGCCGATGATCTGGGTGTGAAGAGAGTGTCTGCAGTAGAGACGCCCTACGGGACTATCCAGACTCCCTGCGTGGTGAACTGTGCAGGTACAGGGCAAAAAGCAGGGTGGGAGATGGACCTGTGCGAAGGTCTCTTGCCGTGGGCTCCCGTGTGGGCCCTGACCGCTCTGTTGGGTGTCTCTGGTAGGTGTGTGGGCCCCAGCCCTGGGCCGGATGGCCGGTGTCCACGTGCCGCTGGTGGCGATGCACCACGCCTACGTGGTGACGGAGCGCATCGAGGGCATCCAGGTCAGTCTGGCGCTGCGCGACACGTGTGAGTAGTTTGTTCTTGAGCTCCTACCTGAGTGTCTCTCAGGAACTTGAGCGTGGTGACAAAAAATGGATGTTCCCAGAGGTTCCCCACAACCCAAGCGTGAAATCCACGGTGGCTGGAGGGCAGCGCTGGTCCTCCTGTCCCCAGTCCTGGTCAGAAGGAGATGCAATGGAGCACCCCGAACCATGGCATCTACCTACCCTGTGCCTTCAGGGCAAGCCTGTGCCATCAGGCCAAGCTCTGCAGGCACAAATCAAACAAGGACCTCATCACCAAGTGCAATTTTCTGCCTGGAATACTGAACTGGAGCCCATATGTGACGCACCATCCAGTTATTTAGTAGCTGCAGCATTATCACTGCTGTGGAAGCTCAGCTGGGGCTGCTTGGTGCAGACCTCCGAGGGGAGAAATGAGAGCCAGGGGAGAGCTCAGGTTTCTGAAGCTGGACTCAGTGCTTCAGCTGCCGACTTCTCATAGCAAATGCGCATGAGTACCTGACTACCTTAATAGAGTGGTGTTTAATATTTAGCAACGTTTTGATTAGCATGATAATTTTTCCTTATCTTTTTTTTTTTCCTTGCTCTGTAGGGTTATTATGAGGTCTCTGATGTGCTTTGTGTTTGACAACATTAATGATAATGGCAAACACTTTGTGAACAAGTCCCAGTCCCCAACAGGAAGAGCTACAGCTCTCTAAGCATTTCTAAACCATCCCAAGAAATCTATTCCTGCCTTCTGGCTACAGAGATTTGTTTGTGAATTAAAGCAGACTTCATTCACACAGACTCTTTGGGCTTTGAGGGTATCACACTGGTTAGATCCCATCCTATTGAAACACTCTGTGTCTGCATTTTCAGTCCTAGATACCTTATTTTTGAAAAAACGCTGGTATTGATTATTATAGCTGTATTCTAGTAACTCCCCTGCTGTACAGAGCAGAAGAGGTTGCAGCTTACACACTGTGGTGCCTCTTTTTAAAAACATTGTTTGTCAACATGACATAGAGTCAGCCCTACAACAATACTGTTCCTATCACCTAAACATTTGTCAATATTTTGACCCGGGATAGAGGCAGGGTCCCAGCAGCTCCCAGGCTTGTGCTGCAACATGTGCTTGGTCTGTCCGGGTCATTTTGGCACCCTGTGCCCTGCATCAGGCCAGGGCTGGGGCATCTAGCCCATGTGCTGGAGTGGACTCAGCTGATGTGACTGTTGTGGTCTCTCCTTTCCCCTCAAGCTGCATAAACCTCTTTGCTGCTGGTGGCTTTATTGGATTTGCAGAAGTCAAAGTTGGTGTCCCCCTCTGTAAATGACATGGGGACCATGAGGGGATTTGAGGGACTGGAGGAAACTCAGAAGAATCACTGCTGATGCCATGGATGTGCTGGGAGCACAAACAGAGAGAAAAACGTGCTGGTATTTGAGCACCAACTTGTCTGGATCATGTTATCAGTGAGAAGAAAACCACCCTCCACCTGGGTGGAGGAGAGGAGATCCCGGCCGTTCTCAGCCCCTCGTACCCCGTCTCACCCCTCTGCTTTCCCTCCCTATTTTTAGAACATGCCGAACGTTCGAGATCACGACGCCTCGGTGTATCTCCGTCTCCAAGGCGATGCCCTTTCCGTGGGTGGATATGAGTCAAATCCAATATTCTGGGAGGAGGTGATTGATGCCGAGAGGTTTTTTTTTTTTTTTTGGAGGAAATGAGGCATGTTACCAGGAAACCCACATTTGATGGAGTGGGCGCTGAAGTGAGCTCCTCATCTCCTAGCTCATGTGCCAGAAAGTACAGAACAGCAGCTGCTAATAACCAGCCTGCACGAGGCCAAGGAGGCTGTGGGTGGTGTGGGGAAAGCACAAGAGCATCTTCCACTTGGGTCTGCCCAAGGTGTAGGTAAGAGATGCTCCCCTAGCAAAAACAAAATGTGAAAGCTGGCCTGGCCCTGGTGGGGTTTTGGGAGGTCACTAGGCAGTTTCCTGCTGTGCCACAGGCTCTTCATCAAGTCACCAGTGACTCTCCTGCAAGCAGGGCCTCTTACCCTCATGCTCGTCTAGGCAACTCATAAAGACTCAAAGAAAGCAGAACCTCAAAACTAGCCTCTGCTAGACTGCCAAAACTGAGGATTTCTTCTATCATAAGCCAAACTCTCCCTTTGTATCCTAAGTCCTGTTTTCTCATCTTCAGGTATCTGATAAATTTGCTTTTGGCCTCTTTGATCTGGACTGGGATGTTTTCATGCAACACTTTGAAGGTGCTGTCAACAGAGTCCCGGTGCTGGAGAAAACAGGAATTAAATCCACTGTCTGTGGGCCAGGTAGTATTTCAGAAGCAGTATCATGGCAGCCGTGTTCCTTGACAGCGATTTTTGGAGGCATATGGTCCCATTTATTCCTTGCTTATACCTTACCATGTGGCTGTGCGATGCTAGGTTGGAAGTGGAAAGGATTTGTTTGACGTCCTTAAGGACAAGAGTGAATTTGGCACGTCCTTTAAGCAGCTGGTGGGAATGTTAATTAGAGCCAATATTGACTTGACTGACCTGCCTTGGCACTGCTGAGCCCGGCAGAGCTTGGCACAGTGGCTGTTTTGATTCTTGCACGTCTGCTTTGGCAAGATTGCAGATCTGGTGGCAACGATCAGCGGGTTTGTCATTCTTGGGGGCGGACGGGAAGCAGGGATGGACAGATTGGCTGCCGAACCTCAGGATTTGTACAGCGTGTTTTTATCCCGTTGTGCATCATCTTTCTCTGAGAGAGCCTCTCGTGTCCCAGGCAGCTTGTAGGAGCTTGTAAGTCCTGTCCTCTTTGACAGTGGGATCTTGCCCACTGCAAATCTGCTGCAACGAGTGGTGAGCGCTGGCCCCGCAGACAAGAGGTGCAGCGTCTCCCAAGGCCACGCGAGCGAAAAGGCAGGGGCTGGGGTGATGCATCCTCCCCCGCTGGCCTCTGTCCCCAGAAAACTTCATAATCTGTTGGAGACACAAACTGAACGCAGAGAAACTCTTTGGTTTAGCTGCAGTCGTGCTGTCTTCCTAGAGGTGGCATCCTAGGCTTAGCATAGCTATATAAACAGTTGAGGGGAGTATTACCCAACATTGCCTTTCTTGGTCTGGATTGAGAGGGATTTTAACAGAGATTGATAGAAAAATGAAAATATTTGCAGCTGCTGATGTTGCCACTGGACTGGAGAATTAAGGGACAGATATTCTAAGAGCGGTCCGTGGTTTTGCAAGTGTTATTTTATACTGTTATTTTTACAACAGCTTTCCAGGCTCCTGGGCAGATTAGATTTACATCAAAGGGTGTCTGGCGTGGAGTTAAAGGCAATAACCTGTTCTTAGGACAGTCCAAGCAGTAGCTGGGCTACCCCACTTCAGATGGTGCTGTCCTCATGGGAGCTTTGCATGGGGCTCCACGGTTGAGTCCAGACTCTGCACAGTATCAGCAGCCACCGCAGCCCTGAAATCCACCAAATCAGCTCTCATTTTACTGAAGCACTTGAAGGGAAACCCCCTAATCCCTCAGAGAGGGAGCCGTGCTGTTGTGCAAAGGGAAAGTAGGGCACATCTCTTGCCCTGGAGCAGATGAAACGTGCGGTGAACAAGGTGGAGGCCTTGGCCCTGGGTAGTGCAGGTTTGATTAAACTGCAGTTTAAGTACAGCTGGTGGTCTCCATGGGAGGCTGGCTTCTTACAGACATACACCTAGTATTTGTAACACAGCAATGTAATTTCCAAAGCGGCTGGAATCCTCCCATCCTGCTTCTTAATTTGAACTAGCATCTGCTCTGCCTGCAACAGCTGAGTCGCACTGATGGAAGCAAATAGCAAATGCTTGTCATTTCCTCTGCACGGTAAATATTTCACCAACAGAACAACTAACCCCTTTTAGAAAGTTGTCCTTTGCTGAGGAAGTTGCCTGTGGGGATGTGGAAGTGCCCGTGTGCCCAGCAGTGCCAGGGCACTTGTGCTGCCAGCACTTGGGGCAAAGCAGACACTGCTGGGGCAGTTTAGGGTATTTCTGCTCTGGTTGATGTTTCCAGTTCCAGGGGTTTTGAGGTGAATTCAACCCAGAGCTGGCCCGAATGCTCATCCCACTCCTCCGAGCTCCAGAATAAGTAGCCAAATGGTGGGTTTCAGACACCAGTGTAGCTGTAGGAAACAGTCTGCAAATACAAGGAGAGATGGGGCTCTTCTAAACTCACTTTCTGAAGAGCCTTGTTGTAGCTTCAGGTCAACAGAGTACTTCGATATTTATTTTTTTGGTAGTGGAACTTAAGTGTTGAAGTGATGGGCTGAATGGGGGCAGGACGAGCATCAGATACGTGGTTCTGTCTGGGCCTGACTGCAGAAGTGACAGATGGAGGGTGCCTGAACCGGGGTGCTGGGAGGTGCTCAGGGCTGCTCTGACTTGCTCCATGGACCTCTCTGGGAGAAAGAGCAGGATGGGATTGACTTTGGAAGCTGGAAGAGCCCCACTCCTAAAGTGTGGGCTGCATCCCTGAGATGCCCGGCCCGGCTTTCCTGATGTCTTCTCCGGTCTGTGTCTTCCAGAGTCATTCACAGCCGACCACAAACCACTCATGGGAGAAGCCCCAGAAGTCCGAGGCTTCTTCCTCGGCTGCGGTTTCAACAGCGCTGGCAAGAAGGGATCGGCAGAAAACGTG